CTCTCTCTCTCTCTCTCTCTCTCTCTCTCTCTCTCTCTCTCTCTCTCTTTCTCTCGTCGCTTTTCCTATCTCGTTGGCCTTGCTATCATAATTAAGGGCCAATTTAATTAAGAGGGAAGGACAGGAAAAAAGTCGCCAACGGCACGAGAGCCACTTCGCAGGATGAATGAACTCGTCGCGCGTATGTAGGACCCTCGGGTATGCTTCTGGCATCTCACGTATGTGTATGCGCATCGATGTGAGCCTGTAAGCCAAGCGAGATACGCGCGACTGAGAAAGGCTCGGCGATTCTAATTAGTCGTCCTAGTTCGCGCTTGTTTAGAGAGACACTCAAGTTTATTTCTACTTAAGCCGCGTGGTTGGCCGACCATCTTGCCTCTTGCCTCCGAATGAACATGTGCAGCGGAAGAGTGCATTTGTCGGCGGTAAAACGAATGTCACGGGCTCACCATCGTGCTTCCATACTCTTCGTCAGCGTGGAATTATGTACATGCACATTCTCACGCGTTTTCTCGTGTTTTGTTAACAGAATGAAGAGATGATCGCGAGTCTGCCAATCAACGGCGGCGGCAGCGGAGGGCCGGTGAGCCGCGTGGGTCGTGGATTGGCCCTTCATAGGTCCAACTCCAGTTTGGAGCTTCCACACAGTCCAGATCCCGCATCACGGGTGCCAGAAACGCCTCTGAGGAGGGAGTATGGATCTCACGGTACGAATATCTGGCTCACTTCTCCAAATTTCACGATCTGTAACACCACATGAAGAAATTCTGCCAACAAAAAATGACTTCAAGTGAAACATACCGTTATTTCTCTTGGTTCAATTTAACAGAAAAGAGAACTTTGTTTTTACGGTAATAAATTTAATAAAACATTTGGACTTTACGTAATATTTCAATAATTTCTACTTTGAAAAAGTATTCTCAAGAAGCTATCCATCACCTCAAGATGAATATTGTAAATTATTTTAAGTATTGTAAATTATTGTAAGTATTGCATTTTCAATTAAATTATTACTTCCAATTTTAATCAATTTTAATCTGATTTAATGCAGGGAGTATCGACGTAGTGGCGCAGTCCGTCACGGCCGGCGAGAACTTCTTCGCCATGCTGCAGGACTTCCGACCGCCGGAACAGCGCGGCACAATCGCTGGGGATTACCTACGTCGCGTACACCAGGACGTGGGTCAGCCGCTCGACGTTGACGAGGTTTGTGGTCCGACCGGCGCTGGTTCAAGTCCGAAGTTGCGACTCAAACTGAACAGACTGTGGGGCAGCAAGCCTCCACGAGCGATGGAGGAGACATGCACTAACTCAGTTGTATCAGCCGACGTGGAAGAACGACATCGAAGACGAGCATTCGCTCACTATGACTGTCAGTCGCTCACGGCGAACTTAGGCTACGCCGCTAAGCTTCGGGGAATTCTCTTAGCCAGGAGAAGAAACACAGCTACCGGTGCGTCCGCCGCCAGCGCACTGAGAGCCTCCACCCCCGACGAAGCTCCCGAAGAAGATATCGGTGATGGGAAAGGTGTGTTTCAGCAGAATAGTTTGACTCGGAGTAGATCTAAAAGAAGATGTTGAAGAATAGACTTATAGATTGAGTGGCTTTTAACAATAATTCTATCTCAATTTATTATTTTCACATTTTATTCTTTCTTAATAATAGTTTGCGGAACCTACAAGTATCAAAATAATTCTAATTTCACGGTATTAGCTAATATAACTAATATTCAACTAATTAATTAATCACACATGTCTACATAATTAATGATAACTGCATAGTAACTATTTCTTACATCATTTCTTTTGCTTTAATATTTTAGTATTCTTGATCTCAAAATTTTACGTAATTGTGTAAATTCTGATTGGGATGGTATGTACGATCTTCTTACAATAGAAACTTAAATAGTTCACAAATTCATCTAAATTATGATTGTGTTACGTACCGCGAGAATAGTTGCGGGATCACTCGCTATTCCTCTGAAAGTTGACAGTTTCACCTCTCGTTGACGGTTTCAGGTAACGACTTGCTGGAGCCGTGTCCCTTCTTCCGCAACGAGATCGGCGGCGAGGGGGAACGCGAGGTTGGTCTTACTCGCTGCTCTCACGGTAATGGGATTCATAGACCGTCGCTATCCTATGGGGTTTCCGTCCTGGAGCCGTCGCCCGGCGAGACCCTGTGGAAACACACTTGCCCGCTACAAAAGCGGTCGCTTCCCATCGAGAGCGTCGACGAGGGGGCCCATTATTACAGACGTTACTTTCTCGGTGAGTGAACAAAGATGCGCCGGCTCATGCGAATTTTTTTATCTTGTTACATAAATGATTTTCGCTCGTTACGTTGAGGATACATCGAGTTTCTACATACTCGAGTCCCGTGTGGCGTTATGAGCAAGAAAGAATCGGTTGCAGCCGCTTTCGTAACTTGGCGTCAAACTAGTTTAGAAGTCTTATTGGCCCGGTTGCACCAACCTAGTGATAAACTAATTAACCGTTAAATTATATGTCTGTATTTATTTTTCTTTCAAAATGAACAAAGATAAGTGCATGTTTAACTATTAATTGACTTATCACTCGGATTTATTTTTCTTTCAAAATAAACAAAGACAAGTGCACGTTTAAATTGTTAATTGACTTATCACTCGGTTAATGCAGGCGGGCTTTAAACTTTTAAATTAACTTTTATCTGGAGAACTGAAGAAATAGAGATATAGATATAATAATTGGATAACATATGAGGAAAGGATATTACTCCGTCTTAAACTCCCTCCGAGTTTAGCTACAGAACTTCGTGGATGCGTATGCGAAAATTGACGCGAAGAGTACAATCATAGGCACGACGTAAGACGTGAACGAAATATCTTGTTGCAGGACGAGAACATCAGAACTGGTTCGGCATGGACGAACAGTTGGGTCCAGTGGCTATCAGTATTCGCAAAGACGTGAATCAGTATCGCGTGATTGTGCGCACGTCGGAGTTACTGACACTCCGTGGTTCCGTGCCGGAGGAAGCCCTCGGGATCAGGCCTCAGGGCCGACCGCCGACAAGGGAGCTGCTGGAGCTAGTTGCGCCGGAGGTGCAATTGGGATGCTTGAGGCTCGGTACATCCGCCGCCGAGGAAGCGGTAGCAAGATTGGACGAGCAAGGACTGTCCAACAAATACAAGGTCGGCGTGATGTACTGTCGATCTGGTCAGCGAACTGAAGAGGAAATGTATAATAATGAGCACGCTGGTCCGGCTTTCCTGGAGTTCCTGGACACTATCGGTACGTTATTCCTCGTTCTTTACTCGCGAACGCCGTTGAAGATATTGTTGATTATTGATACTTTCAGTTTATTATTACGTATTATATTTTTTTTCTCATAGAAAGAACTAGGAGAGCTCCAGATACACGTGTTAACACATTGTTAGCATCCATATTCGCAAGTGAGGAAAGTTCAGTGAATCAGAAAACTCGCGTTAGAGAAGTCGATAAAACTGTGCCCTCGTAAACGCCGTGAATAAAGCAGTCGGAAGTGCGATTTACACACGATGTTACAAGCGGTTCACGGTTGCTTCGCAGGATAGTTTAAGTCGCTTTATCGACGCTTAGCCGATTCAATGCCCCGGAATAATTTTACCTGCCGTTCGTAGCGCTAATCATCCGCGAACGCGCGGATAATTTCGCGGTCGTTACTCCGCGAATCGTTACGTTTAATGGTCGCCTTTAGTTATCCTTATTTATAGTTACTATCGCTTTCTCTAAAAGAGAAACGCGTGTCCTGTTCTTATTTTTTCTTCTCGTCACGTCGTTGCATGCACGCCCGTTTCCGCAAGCGTCAGGCCGATGGTTATCGCGTCTTTGTTTGTACACATGATTACCATAGACCGACATAAGTTGTCGTCGCACAATCTTGTGAAACGGCGAACATATCTACTGAAGAGTTTTGTAATATCGCTCTTTGCTCATTTTAAGTTTGCGCTTTATTGAACGTCGGATCTCGTTCTCCCTCTCTTGTTTATTTCGGGCAATGTGAGCTCTCCTCCAAAGAGACAACATCATACATCCATATAATCACTCCGTTACAAACAAATCTACTTTGCTTTTTGGCGTAACACGTACAATTAGTCCGCGAGAAACAGGATTGATCACACTGTTCAGTGTGTAAAATCTCGCTCTCCGACGAAGCCGAAGACGCGTAACAAGACGACCGCTGCGCCGAGCAATTGAGATAATTGCATGTTTCCATGACAGGCCAAAGAATAAGACTGCGAGGATTCGAGGGTTATAAGGCCGGTCTGGACACCAGAACCAACTCGACGGGTACCCACGCGGTAGCGGCCACGCACCGAGGAGCGGAAGTCACCTTTCACGTGTCGACAATGCTACCCTTCTCATCTAATAATCGTCAACAGCTGCTGAGGAAGAGGCACATCGGAAATGACATAGTCACGATAGTTTTTCAGGTACAGTCTCCGTAACCGTCAAATTAAAGCCGCGGCTGATTACGCAATTGTGTAATAACGACCGTGCACGCGGAGAGAAACGCATGACGTATTTGCTCTTGCGTCGCGTCGCTGTCTGATTTATTATACGGCGTGTTCGCCGAGAGCGGGACGCGAGGCATCGCAATTACGTCTCTGCGCGCTCAGTGAATGATTCATTTTGCAGAAGATTTAATTTTTGCGCTGGTATCGGGGCTACATACGCGTAATGCGAATTCGAGATGTGATTTATTCGCGTCGAACCAACATAGCGGCCCTTCAATTTCAAATGATTACTTCAAACAAGCGAATTCACTCGCGCGTTGTTTTACGGCTTAGCCGAGGGTATTGCAATTGTGTATTTTTAGGAACCCGGTGCGTTACCGTTCAGCCCGCGGAGGATACGCTCCCAGTTCCAACACGTGTTCATCATCGTGAGAGCTATAAATCCTTGCTCCGACAACACGCAGTACAGCGTGGCGGTGTCCAGGAGCAAAGAAGTGCCTATCTTCGGGCCACCTGTACCACAAAGTGCCACATTCACGAAGGGAAAGGCATTCGCCGATTTTATTCTAGCCAAGATTATAAACGCCGAAAATGCAGCTCACAGGTAAGACAATCTCGTTTTTTTTTTTGTTCTTTTTTAGTGCACGCCCATAAAATTAGCTGAACTGATTATATACTTTCCCTCAGATCCGAGAAATTCGCCACCATGGCCACGAGGACAAGACAGGAATACTTGAAGGAGTTAGCTACCAACTATTCCTCTACCACAGTCGTCGACACGGGCCAGAAGTTTTGTACGTTACATTTTAGATAAATTCATCTCAGTAGAAACTCAGTAGAAACTAAAAATTTAGAAAAATTAGAAAAGCTCAGAAAAAAATAATATTTAATCGTTTAAATCGTGAAATTACAATACTGCTTTGAAAAATTCATTGCTTTCTTCTCGCGAAACAGCGATGCTGTCCTTTAGTAGCAAGAAGAAGACGGCAGTGCGACCGAGACTCTCTTGCGATGCATCTCAGCGCGGCGCGATTTGCTGGCAAGTCATACTCGAGGACAGCAATCAGAACACGGATTGTTATTTAGGTATAAGCATAGACACCATCGTGCTGATCGAGGAACACTCCAGACAGATAGTATTCGTGACTCCGTGCGTGAGTGTGCTCGGATGGCACGTTCAGACTAACAGGTAATTATCCTGACTTTTTGAAAAAACGTCTAATTAATTCAATCGAGACCCACACATTTACTTATACTCGTAAAAATGAATTTTTCAATAACGATAAAATATCGAGTCCTTCGATTTTTCATCTCGCGATAATCTCTTTTTTTGCTTGTTAGACGTGTAACTGCCATTTATTGCATTATTGACGATCGCATGTACCGCAAAAATGCGAACGGGCGATCGGAGAAATCGAACGATTAATTACAGTCTAACATTTTTGCTTGCTTTTGCGTTCCAGTTTAAGATTGTATCATCATCAAGGCGAATGCATTACCATACACGTACGTGGTGATTATGGCGAGCGAGACGAGTTAATGGAAATTGTGGCCCGGCTACGCGCCGTAACTCAAGGCGCGCCAGCCTCAGAGCTGTCTCTGAAGAGGAACAGCCTCGGACAGTTGGGCTTCCACGTTCAGCCCGACGGCGTCGTGACGCAGGTCGAAAATATGGGACTGTCGTGGCAGGCGGGCTTGAGGCAGGCCTCCAGGCTGGTCGAGATTTGCAAGGTGGCCGTGTCGACCTTGAGTCACGATCAAATGGTCGACCTCCTGAAGACCAGTGCTCAGGTCACTGTCACCGTGATACCGCCGACTAACGAAGGAAATCCACGAAGGTAAGCATATCAAATTCCCCTTATTAATTTATAATTTTCTTATATAAATAAGATAAAAGATTAATTAAGTTTAATCCATCTTCCTTAACGATTCTTTTTTATGATGCTGTAACTTACATAAACGTGACAGATATAGCTTCAAACGAAACATTTTAACTCTCTGTACTAGCCTAAAATTGATTTCTCTTCTTAAAATCTAGTTAAATTTGAGTAATATAGAAATTAGTCGTGTTCTAACTTAAAATAAAAGAAAATAATCCAAAGAAATTTTCCAATTCTTTTATCCACATAATAGAGGCTGTTCGTTGCAAAACTGCCAGTATCTGTCGACTAATTACGAAGGGGATTACGAAAATGTAACAAGCGCGGATAACACACCGAGTCAACAAACGGCAATGTCGCATCAAAGGCGATACGACCGATCGTTCAGTCCACCGCGATCGAGTAACAGCTCCGGGTATGGTACTGGATCGAGCTCTAGATCGTTCAACGATCCACGGTTTCCGTTGGAGGGTACAATGACTAGCAGCAGTAGCGGACACAGTAGTGCCGATGATCGTTGGTGAGTGATTAATAATTAATCCCTTCGCGAGCAACATGATTAACGAACAAACTTATAATGTCAATTCTAAAACTGTCGATCGTTGAACGTGTGAAGCCGTGTGTGAGGTATTTCAATTAACGCACAGCGTAGACACGATTCGTATTTAATGAACGAACAGTGGGAAACAAAACACTCGTTTGTTTCAGGTATGAGCTTCTAGAGACTCAAGATCAGGACGGTGGGCACCGCGCGGACGGTACGCCACCTCCGTTACCAGCACGACAGAGTTATCAAGCGATGACACCCAACAAGACGCCCACGTCCGCTCAAAAGAAGGACAAAAATTCTCATTACGTCACCGCTAAACAGCTCGCTGAGAGCTCGAAGCATCGCGAACACATTCACGAACATTACTTGAAGGAGAGCAACTATGTGTCGTCGAAGATTCTCCAAGAAAACGTGCGACACGAGAATTATCAGCGACAATTGGACAACGCGCATCGCGGGCAAGATCATGTAACGACCAACTATGTGAAACTACAGAAGGAGAGATACGAAATCAAACAGGAAAACCTCTACGCTTCACAGAGGGAGCTCCACAAGAACGACGCGCAACACCACAACCATCAGAAGCTCAGCGCGTCGAATTCGCTGCCATTGGCGCACAATGCCGTATACAGTCTACCAAAGTCGGGCAGCAACAATAATCTCGGTAGGTACAACGAATACGAGCAGTCCGGCAACAAGTACGACTATGAGACGTCGAAACTGGACAGGAGCTCCAAGTATGAACTACAAGAGGAAAAGATTATGGAACGATCAGCGGTTAAGTACGAGCACGATGTACGAGGCCACGAGAAAAGACTCGGCTACGAATATCCCGAGGACATCTACGAGAGAAGAAATAGCAAATACGATATGGAGCTTGCCAAATACGAGATAGAGTGTCAGCACATTAATAACGATAGGAAGCACAACGACAACATCGAGCACAATCGAGATTCCATCAAGTACGAAATGCCACACGACTTCAAAGTGGGCGAGAAAGTCACTTGTCTGAAAACTACCATGTCGGAGCGACCTGTGCCGCACAAGGTGAACGTGGAGTATCGGCAGACGAAGGACTTCCCGACAAGTCTACCACCAGAAGTGAGAATATCGGATACGGTCAATTGTCCGGAGATCGCCACGCTGCCCAGCGAAGATGAACTGTCGAACGGCTCGGGCAACGTGTCGCCTAGACTGCGGCGGGCCAGCAAACATCGTGGTGGTAATCGCACTCCATCCAGCGGTGGCTCCAGAAACCAAAGTCCTCGACCCAAGCCAGGTATCAGGAACACGCACAGGAACTCTGCAAACTTAACGTCCAGTACCCTCCAGGAGGATCTCATGAGACTGATCAACCCCGATTACATCGCCGACGACAGTCAGACAAACAACAATAACCTCGTAAACAGCGTGATGAGTCCCAATCAAAACTCGAACAAGCTGAATAATAATATGCTGGAAATTCAGAACCGGTGCAGATCTAGGGAGAATTTATGCGGCAATAGCGCCTCCACCTTGAGTGTATTGCCTGCAAACGGCCAGGAAAATGGAAATAACGGGTCGGAGGTGATCCTGACGATGGCCAGACCAGCGACGGTGATCTCCAATGCCAGCACTGCTTCGAGCCCAGCGTTAAGCGAGAACAAATTATCGAAAGAGGAAAGGTACGAAAAGTCACACATTTAATACGCTTAATAAAAAATAATTTTGTTTATGTGATGTACTCTAAATAATAATTAAGAATAAATATTTTAAGGAATCAGCAATTTTTTTAGTAAACTACTTAAGACAACATAATAATCATTTTCTTCTTCAGATTATCACCGCGTGTCACGAAACCGCTTCATCCGATCTCGAAACCGCACAGCAATCTAACACCGATCAAAGACATGAAAAATCATAATGATGCAAATATGGATTGTTGGAAGAATCAGCACACAGATCCCAGTAGATCAAAGCAGCATCCTCAAGAATGGTCCGATGACATCGACAGTAACAACGTGAACGCGTAAGTACTCAGTGATCGATAATACGCACTATATTGAACATTTGATGAGAAACTGAATATTTTGCAGAAATGTTTCGGACTTGCAGTCGCATCTATCCACTCTCGAGTTGAGAATGGCTAGGGAGACGCGTCTGCGACTATCACTGGAGGACGAGGTGCGCCGATTGCGCGACGAGAATCGACGTTTACTCGAGTCCGAGAGTTTGCGACAGTCCTTGGAGGACGAGAATCGTCGTCTGAAGGATGAGAATCACGCAGCCGCGCAGCAACTCCGACGTTTCACGGAGTGGTTCTTTCAAACGATGGATCACCCATGAGCGTGGTGACTCACACAAGATCAATCAATGTAAAGAGATCAGTTTAGAATATTTCGTTCTAGTGAGATCGTTTCGAACGACGAATCGTCGGGAAACGCCGCAATCAGTATAACAATAACTAAGAAGTGATCTCGTATTTGTAAAACCGTATTTGTAAAGTTTTCAACTTTTAGTTCAGCAAGCTCGGAAAGAGTTTATTTGTTCAAAGTGAATTTTTAAACAGTTTCTGACCTGAAAATTTCCGATTTCACACGTATAAAGTATAATGAGTCACAAAACTGTTGTGATTTAAGATATCGCGATGACATGTTAATACATAAAGTAGTATTTCACAAACTCTCAGTTCATTGTTCTCGCATTTCCGATCTGATGCAGAACGATGTAAATAATTGTGAGAAAAAAATAAGTTATATGATCCGTGTGTATTATACTTAATATATATCTTAAACTAAGAAGATAAACATTATAAATATACTTTTCTTCAGAATAATCATATCATTTTATATGCATTTATTTTACTTATTCTGCGTGCGCTGCCGATAAAGTGTTGTTTGCATGTGTTGCCTTCTTAGTATCCTTTTACGCATTTCTTCGAGTATTACTATTGCAACGTTTGAATCCGAAATACTGCTTTATGCATTAACATGTCGTCACGTTATCTTAAATTTATTTTCACACTCTGTACCGTCACTTCGACTCCTGTCATAATCGGCTTACGCCCAAATACGTCAGCAGTACCTTTCAGTTTTGACATCTTGAAGTGCTGCAACTTCAGTGCTCGAAATGCATTTTATGACTCATTGTACATCGGCACCGCGGATGTTGTATTATTCTATCACTAAAGTGATAGTTGTCAAAAATTTTTGACCAGCCGCATTCGTTTCTCACGATTATTGATTAACCAAGAAAGTGGGAATACGTTTAAGACAGATGTGATATTTTGATAACTTGATGGTTCGTATACGTCAATAAAAAGTGTTACGTGCTTATGTGTAACGTGCAATCAGAATAAGAATGTTAAGAAAAATATATAAGTACGAAGTTAATATATACAATTGATATAAATAACAAATTAGAAAATATACATATGTATACTTTCTAATTATATATATAATTATTATAATATAATAAATTATTATATTATATGTATAATTTATAATAAAATATATTTATCTTTCTTAACATCCTTATTTTTTCTACTGATTGCACATTAGACTTGAGTGAATAATCTTCTTTACCGGCGCACATGGAACATTAATTTTTTAAATGTCCGTTTGCTTGGAACATATCCACTTTCTCGATCAACAACGATTTTTAATCAACAATAATGAGAAATACATAGCTAAAAACGTATAAGGCTGGTCGAAAACTTGTAGTAACTATCGATATAATAAATGATAAAACTTCCGCGGCGTTGAATGTATATTTGGTTTCAATGGTTTAAACACATTTTTTGAATATCTAATTCAGCAGGCTGGGCATAAATGATTTTTTTTCAATACAGTTTGTAACGTAGTCGACAGTCTAATGAGAGATTTTGTTTTTGATAAATTTCCAGAAGTTAAGTTTTTCTATTGGACTATTGGCTGTATTGCGAACTGCATAAAAAGAAAATGTTTAAGGCATTTTGAAACTCAATGCACGTATCACTTCTTGGCTGTCAATAAACTACTTGTCAGTATCTTGTAGGAATTGTTTAGCAGAAAAAAAAGAGAACAAAGTACGCGTATCAATATTCTTAAAACATGAATTCAGTGAGTTATCTCTTATTCTCTTATTTTGTTAGATTGATTGCATTTATTTTGTTCGAGTTTCTCAGTTGCTCAAATTGGAGCACGATCTTTGTAAGTGCAGTATTAACTTGACCTTCGTCTGAATGATGTAGATGTCACGATGTAGATCGTTCGGGGGCAAGCCACAAGCATTGCATTGCGATTGCGAGTAAAAACTGCCCACGACACTTTCGACGCTTTGTATTATATAGACTTGTTAAGCTATTCTAATTGTAAAATATAAGTTACCATCGTACTGTTTCTTCTACAGAAGATTCGTACGTTGACAACAAAATTATTTGTAGATCCCGCGACCACACAAGTAATTATTTACGATAAAATATCTTAAATATGCGTCTTGGTGTAATAAGTGCATATTAAAAGTATAGAATAACGTTTAACTTTACACACAAAAGCGACCAAATGACCAAATATTGCTAGAACATTAAGGTCTTTACTTTAATTCTGTAATTTATTATGTCTTTTGTATTAATCGTCTATAGAACGTTAATGCGAACGCGTCTGAAGTCGCTGAAGCGAACACAGGCGTAAGGCACTTTTCGCCTTTGTCAGAAATTCCTCATCGAGTCCTTTGTATATGGAGTCCTTTGAGTATACGGAGTATAATTTCGGCATAATGTACGAAAGCAGCATTTATTGAAAACTGTAAGTCAATCAATAAAGAAAAATGCATACTTCAACGTTGTCCTCTTGCTTGAAAAAGAACCAGATTTATTAGGGGCTATCTACAGTGGAGAATCGTACGCCGTAACAGTAAGAAATTGACTAATCACAATCGATTATTCTTGTAAAAATGCAGTATGATTGATCAATTTCTTACTGCTACGGCGTACGATTTTCCATTGTAGATGGCCCTTTAGAATATATGTATCTTCTTTCTATAAACTGTTAAAATAGTGTTCTAACGGCATTTCACGTGAGGTGGATCACGTAGGAGCATGCAAGATATGCAAGGAGTGGGTAGACTAGGTGCTGATTGAACTGTTACCACCGTTTAGAATAAAATAGTTTATTATAATCCACAGAAAAAAACAAGACATTTCCATGATGCCTTAAGACTCACTGTTCTGTCAGTTAACAATTAGCTGCAGTTACACTCTCTTCCGTTCGAGACCACGCGGATACGCTCGCTCGCTCGCCACGCTGCCGTCGTCGCCGCATCACGATATCAGCAGGAACGATAATCCTTAACACTCGATATATCCATCGACCTATCTGGCCGATTTATAAAGGATCGGATTATGCGTACAGCATCCTTACAGATAAAAAGAGAGGAAACTATGTGACATCGCTGCTGCACGATATCGCGATCCGGCGAATTACACTGGTTGTCGTTATCATTGTGTTGCAATGATACTCTCATTCTTTTGCTCATGTCACGGAAGAATAGTGCTGTTCCTTTTTTCCTCCTCCTCCTCTTCATTCTTTTCCTCCTTTTATCTCCACTCCTCTTGCTTCACCTCTTGCTTTCGTCGCTCTCCCTTCCTCTCGTCTACGACACCCATAAATTCGGGATAGTCGATCTCGACGCAATTATCGTTATCGGTGTAATCAGAGACAAGCAAAATATTACTCCATCCTGCGAGCGTCATGTCCATTCTCCGTCTCACGGTCTATTATTTATGCGTTAAATGTGAGATATCGATATTTAGCTCGTTTCCTAATCTCTAGGTCTATGTTATATTAACGTCCCCGAAGGACGCCCCCGATTACTGCGCTTTCTGAGAGGAAAGTGATTATGCGAGAGAATACTTGACTGGTATAGTCGAAACACTGTGAAGTAATATTTTACAGAGCTCTGCGTGTATATAACGCTACACGTTACGCACCGAGGCTTCCCCCTTCATCAGTATCGTTTTGTTCGCTTAAGTACATGAGAAGGTATGCTTAGCAAGTGTAATTACTTGTAGATGTAGATGTTTAAACACTTGGACTTAGCTTTATTCTATAGTAGCATTTTTCCTATATAATCCCCTAAATTAACGTATGCCCTCGTGTGGAAGTACACATCTCCATTACGAAGTTTCGGCTGAGTTATTCGTCACCGCGCGAGTAAATCTCAAAGACGTTGCGGAGCACTTTGCGAGCGCGGAACCTAATCGACGTGATGCTCGCTCGTTGGAAAAACAGGAAACGTCATCTTAACACGTTGAGCGCAACGTCATCCGTATACTTGGCTGGCTCATCGCAGGGGAGTCGCCATCCGTTCGCGAGTGACGCTCTTATTCGCTCAATTAGGAATGATCTGGCTAAGTCTAATCGAGTTCAACTCGCGCGATTATAACAATGTTTTAAGCAATCTGACTCTGAGAACTCGGGCCTTGGTGGGACCCACATTCAAATCCGGCGTGTTGCTCAACGTGTTAACGACACGTCAACATTGACAACCAGACGGAATTCGAACTCGTGGTGGTTCGCTCGTTGCAAGAGCTCTTCAACCGGCGCGAGATGTCAACATCGTACATCTGTCATGGAAATTAATGAAACGCGCGATGAGTCGAGCAAAAGCAGGGGAGAGACGTCGGTCCTGACGAGAGAGAACGTGAGTCTCTGAGATTTCTAATTGCATCTTCTTGCCGGTTGAACACGCGCGAGGGTAACAACCAAAGGATGTCCGAAGAGCCTGTTGGAGGATCCCGAAGGTTGTTTGAGAAGCACTGTCACGTCGTGACAAAAGTGTGCCGCCGCCGCGCGTGCGAGCGACTATTTTTGCGCGCTGAAATTGACGGACAATGAATTATCACCCGGCAATACCTTGTGGTTAGGCAAACGTTGATACTCGCGTTTCCGTTTCGCGCTAATCGGCATGAATAAACGCGGCCGATACGGGCCGCAGGGAAAATGTAAAAACAAGCGGAATGAGTTGCGCATGACAAAACGGTTGATCGATCCTACGAAGCATTCGTAAGGAAACTAACAGCGCGGCTAGCACGTGTCGTCGCATACGGTGGACTATGAATCATGCACATTCGACGAGCAGGCTTTATGGCACGCAACGATAAATAAAGATACCGGACTATACGATAAAAACAAAGTTAGCGGATGGATCGAATCGAGAGCAGCGGTTTCTGCTCGGCGAGAAACGACGCTCCGAAGCATATCATTCAGATCATGTCGGATAAAGTCCCTTGGAAAACCGGGGCAAACGATAGAATTATACTAAACGCTCGCTGAATCGAGAAGTCGCAGCACGAGTGCAGACGCAGAAAAAGAAAAGCGGAACATATTTTAAAGTATCGTCGACTGGGCGCGAGACAAAACATGAAACTTTACTTCTCTCCTTCAGGGCTGGGCGTTTGCGCATAAATCATGATACTCTACGTCTATGTGTAGGCAATGTAAACTATGTACGAGATGTCATTTATGTAGAAGATGAGCAACTTGAGAATGTCGTTCAAAGAACGTATGGTTTACTCGAAAATTAATTTAAGAAATTTTCTACTTTTATTTAATCTTTAGAAGCCTGATGTAAACTTATAAATGTTATTTTCTAAACAAGTTAAGAGTCCACAGAATTCTCTGGTTACAATTTTTATTCTCAGGATATCAATCATGTACTTTTTCCTTGCGCAAATTTAAGAACGAATCAAATTAGTTAGTAAAACTTTTTACGGATTTATACCAAGAGAAAAGATTCACGATAGATGTCATGTCAAGGTCATGTCAATGTCCAGAATTAAATTTGCTTACTTGTCACATAATGAAATGAAAAATTCATGTGCAATTTGCTGCCTTTTCCAAACATTACATTTACAATTAATATCTAAAACAGAAACTCTCATAATTTAATATAATCTTTCTTTAATATAATTTACAATATTCTACATAATTTACGTCGTCTACATGGAAAAAGACCGTGTTACTTCAAGTAGACAATATACAAACAATCCACGTAGATGTAATCTTGAAATCTACGCGCAACACTGATTTCTTTGTTTCTTTCTCTTTCTTTTTGCAATTATTTCCTTTTGTTGTGAATTGATCGGTCTTATGTACATTATTATCTGATTCCTCGTGTATTCTCTTCAATAACAAAAGTTTGCTTAACGAAAAGGTTCCCGTTATCATAACACGTTGAGTGCCACGTCACTCACATTTGGATGACGCGTGAGTTTTCATATAGATCCTTTCACACTTCGTATGTGGGTTTTACTCCAGCCAAGAATACTTTTATTAAGTATTATATTATTGCTGATCGAGTGTCATTCGTGCAATTGATAATATTTTAAACAATCTGATCCTATATACGATGGCACTCAACGTTTAAGTATGTCGCCTAATTTATATGTATACATTAAAATATGTGAGTGATAGAGGTGACGCTAAATCAACCAAACCTACGCGAGCACAAATCGACTGATCATCCAAATTATTTTCTTCGAGGCAAGAAGCGAGGCATCTTCGACGAGACTCATTGGAAAAAAGAAAAAGAAGAGAAGCATACCGAGGGCCACTTTCCACTTACGGTAACATGGTTACAGCAAGCTGAGAGGAAGAAGGGCACAACATAAGAAAGACGGAGATTAATCTACCGTGTACAGTGTTCCATATTCTCTGCAAGGTGTCCCATCGTCAATCTTTAACGACGAGATCTTCCGGCGAGCTTGAAATTAAATTTCCCCTCGCGGCGGTCTTGCGGAGAGTTTGCGCAACTTGTTAAATGTTACAAATTGAAAAGTTAGAAGGGCCTGTCGGTAGATTTGCGAACACCGCTCCGTGAGACATGGAATGCCGCTAATGAAAAATTCACTTCAAACTGCTCCAAGAACACGTTAAATCTTATGATGCATCTTTCGTTCAACGGTGAGAATGAAATAAGGTCAAAGTACCTATACCTGGATACTTATGATGTTCTTATTATTTCGGTCCGGTTGAATACGAATATTTCGACTTTTAATAAAGAATACATATACAGGGTGTTCCGAATTTAAATGTCAAAACTTCGGAAACATGTAGGGAATCGATAAACTAAAAAAAAAAGTTCTTTAGAGATATGCTCGTTTTTGCTTCGTTTTGGAGAAAATCGCAAAAAAAGACAAACGTAGTTTTCATTTTTGTACTTATTTATTACTTATTCATTCACACTTATTATTATTCACGTTGTCACTTGCTTATTGTCTCCATATGCAGCCGAAGCAGTAATTATAATTTTCTTATAATATTATTTAGTACAACAACAAAAATAAACTATTTAGTCCAAATATTTCATATAACAAAACAGAGATTAGAGATATATGCATAAAATATTTATATAATTTTGTAAATTCCTGCAACTTGTATGCAACACTAATCAATATTTGCGATAACATTGTATTATTGCAAATTTATTATATTGCAATATTGCTATAATATTGCGTTGCAATATTTAAAAAAGCGGATATTTTAACGTTGCTGCAACTCAAAAACAACGTTGCAGCAATATTTCGCAATGAAATCGCAATATTGCAATAGTGCAAAATAACATTACTGCAATGTTGCTGCAATATTACTGTACTTTATCGAAATTCACTCGATAGCTTCTAACTGGCGAATTTATAATTTAACTGGAGAAAGACAGAAATGTAAACAAACAATAAAAGTGTTCACCTGAATATTCAAACAGAATATTATTGTTTTCGTGTACGCGCGCGCGCGCGCGATTTCAATGACAATAATACTTTAGAGGTAATACGAGACGAAGCAACTACTTTTTTTTTTTGCGATTTTCTCTTATAAACGAAGCAAAAACGAGCATATCTCTAAAGGACTTTTCTCTTAGTTTATCGATCCCCTACACTCTCCCGAAGTTTTGACATTTAAATTCTGGACACCCTGTATATACATATATTCTACGTTAAAAGTTTAGATATCCAGACGCCAAAACAATACAAATGTCCAGTTATTAATGTCCAAGCATTGGTACTCTTGTCATGTACAAGGATCTATCCCGCGATTCCGAGCGTTCGTTCTCGTGCCGATCGTACGCTCCTCTTGAATCGAAAATCGGAGGCGCTTACGAACGACGGCGAGAAGATACGCGACTGGCAATGAGACGATAAATCCCGCGCGCGACGATCTGATCTCTGTCGGTTTCATACCGTCGTATTTGATGTCTCCCGAAGTACGTTTCACTCGCACGCGAAAGATTCGCCCGTTCCGTCACGATCGACAAACGCACGCACCTGGCCGCAATCCGGTGGATAAAACCGGTGAAAGTCTACGAAAAGTAACGCTTCACGATAAGCCCGCCGATTACGCGGTTTTGCCGTCGAGACATCCTTAGCGAGTATTACACTCTGATTCCCTACACGCTCGCGAACATTACCGATAATACGTCGATCGGAGAGACAGAGCTCCTCCGTTAATACAAAAATACTGTTCTGATGCACCATATCTTCACCTACTATCCCTACCATTATGCACAGTAATCCCTGTAGTCTTTAACACTCCGTTATCGTGGACAAGGAAAAAATACTGAGTATGACAGCTGTGTGTATCAGTGTATGTGTGCGCATGTGTGTGTGTATATGTATATATGTGTCTCTTTGTCTGCGAGAAGAAGAGAACCAAGGAGAATTACCGCTAAAGTACCGAATCTCGATTGCGATTGCGACTCCGTGGGCGCGCCAGGCATTATAACGCTTGATGGGCTGATTCGCAAAGTCGCGCGAAATGCTCGCGGCGACTCACGCGAGAGCTCACGGAGGCTCGTTTCTCTCATCCGGACGAGGTTCCTGCGGAGTCTTGTGACGCGTGCAATCGTTGTGATCTCTCCTGAGGAAGGCCTCTGTCGCCTGTTGGCGCTCCCAAAAAGCCGGCTGCGTCGAAATTTGCATCGGGTAGACCGGCGCCGCGCAGGAGAGACGTGCGACGATACATCGGTGTCGAGAGGACAATGGCTCTCCCTTATACAGTTCTCCATCCTCTGTGCGGCGACTGTACAATGTTACAGTCCTCGGTCTCTCGTTCTCTAAGCCAGTCTCACCGTCGAGAAGGAGCGATGCGGCTCCTGAATCGCGGAGCAGCCTCCGGCAAGCTCTGCTGGAGCAATGCGCTCCGCTTCCGTCGCGTCGGCTGTTGCGATCGAAGACCAGAATCTATTTGCAGCCGGTGAAACTATAAGTGGCGAAACGGTGGACTGGACACAACGAGGAGAAATGCCTTCGGCTGAGAAACGATCGGTCGTCGATGCACAACGCCGTTCCGCCGAGGGAGAATCTCGCGCGAATTCGCAATTTGCGAGTGTTACACGCATACACGCCATATATGGGCGATGGACTGTCATTGCGTTCGGTATTTCATGTTCCTCGATTGACATTAATACTACGATTTAATTAGTCATAGCTCGGCGCGGAATCGCGACCACGCAGAAGACAACACGCGTCCGTCCCTCACCGCGCCGCTCTTGTTATTTACTACGGTTATTAATCGTATATTTGTATATATACTTTTATATATATATAGTATATTATATATATTCAGCATCACAGTAAAATAGCGCCCTTCATTATTAAGTTATCATCGATCAGCTCGGACCGTATTATATTCTCATTCCTGTGTCAACAACATACTCTACAACAATCGTCAACATCGTCAAAGACCGTCGATCGCGTCCGAGCGCGGACGCGGCGATTACGTGCCGGACAGATGACGATACCTGTCCCAGCTGTCAGGATTCCCCGAGACACAGAGAAACGGGAGGGTATAGAAGTGGAGAAGGAGGAACAGAGAAAGAGCGTCGAGTCGTGGACAGGTACCGTACTCGATTGAAAATGATCATTATAGTCGAGGTGGCGTGACTCCGCCAGTTTTGCACGCGCGCGTGTCGACGATCATCGACTCTGAAACACAACGTGATCGCCGTTCTGCTCTGAACGACAGATTGGAAAGAACGATCGTCAAACGTGTACGAGTGAGTCCGGAGCGCGCGACTGAAAGTGTCAGGGCGTCCTGCTGCGACACGCGAGGCATCGCGGACAGGGTTTGCGTGCAGAGAGAAATTGAATCGCGTGAAAATTTTCTGGAGTTGGAGAGATTTTGGACAGTCCAGCCGAGAAGAATCCGCGGCCCCGAGAGTATCAAACCGAAGAAGCTCGGTATACATCTTAACGAGGTCGGGCGTTTTTTCAATGACTGCATGCGCGACCACGTCGGCCGGCCGACCGTTCGTTCGTTCATTCGTTCGTTCGTTCTGCGTCTCGTCTTCGTGTTTCGAGAGCTCTCACCGCTGGCACTACTAATTAACATTCGGCTGTGCCGAAACGGTCGGTAAAAGGATCTTGTACTCTATTCCCAACGTGTTCTTCTTCTAATCTGCCCTTCCGCGTCGTCGTTGTCGCCGTCGTCGCCGCGACTTCTTACTTCAATCATTTGTACTTGACCCTGCACCGTCAGCGATGGCTGACCGGCCAATTGCGTCTCTACTCAACTCGACCTCGTCGAGTTGGGGACACTGAGTCCCGGTAGCATTTTCAGTATGTAACTTATATACCCGAGAACGTCGGTCTCGGTGTTAGATATTATTCCCTGCGCGTCCTCTTGACCGAGTCGAGCGTCGTTGCTCATTCGATAAACAGCAAAATAGAGAAATCTTACGAATAGATATTTCTTACTAGGTTACTCTGAAAATAAATAGTTATAAAAATAAGCGGCCACATTTTATGCTTAAAATACCTTAGGGTAAAAACTTAATTTTACACCACATGCGGAGTGGAATGTGTGGTTGTCTCTCTCTCTTCGCCCGTACTAAAAGCGTAACTCTAACGAAAAAAGTTCAACTACCAAGTGTAAAAAACGTTAACGATAAATTGTCAATTGTAATTATCAATAGTGCAATATATATACGCTCAATCGAGAGGAGAAAACGTGAATCAATAAATAAGAGTGCAACAAGAGATTAGAAATGTGTCAAAGCGACGACGCACCGAGCGACGAATCGCCGTCGGTGATATACCGTCGGAAAATTGTAATTCGTAGAATATATAAATAACTGTATTTTCCCTCCCGCGGAGATAGCTTAGGTACAACACTCGATTCCTTTTCCTCCCTTTTTCCCCTTCCCTCCCCCCCCCCCC